CTGAGAGTCAGAATAATCGCCATGGGAGTGGGTTGGGTTTATTCCCCCTCACTCTGGACCACTGCACTTTCCCTGGGAAAAGAAAACTGCTGAGGCGTTTAGCCTGAGGAGACCAAGCGGCACAACACTTGTTACAGAGCAGCAAGTCTGTCGTGAAGGCCGCAGCGAGGTGGCCCGGTCATCTGGAGGGGTTTCCACAGTTGTGATTTGGCTGCTCCTGTGGAGTCAGAGAGGAACTGAGCTCCACTGGGTATCTGAAGGCTGACTTTCCAGAAATCGGCCTCCGGACACTCCAAAGTACTATTACTGTTGTTGTCATCAGGGGCAGCCAAGTGCATCCTGACTCACAGCGACCCCACGTGGCTGAGCAGAGCTGCACCGTTGCATTTCCCAGGCTGTTGTCTTCACGGGAGCAGATGCCAGGTTTTGCTCCCGCAGAAATGCCAGGTGGGCTTACATTACCAGGTTTTTTGGTTAGCAGTCAAGCACCTCACTAAGGCACCACTAGGGCTCCTTAAAGCACCTTTAAAAAAAACCCCAACGAACCCACTGCTGTTCCGTTGGTTCCGATTCACGGAAGAGCGACTACTGGATTCAAAGTGGCCAAGGCTTAACCCGCTCCAAGGCCAGGGCTGCTTTGTTATGTAAGATGTTATGTTGTTAGATGTTATGTTAGATGTTATGTTGTTAGACGTTACGTTAGATTACGTTAGACGCTACGTTAGACGTTACGTTAGACGCCATCTACTTGGTTCCAACTCACAGTGACTCTGCACAACACAACGAAACAATGCCCAGTCTTGAGTCACAACTGTGGTTGTATTTGTGTCAGTCCATCTCATTGAGAGTCTTCTTTGTCGCTGACCCTCCACTTTACCAAGCATGATGTCCTTCTCCAGCAACTGGTCCCTCCTGAGAACATGTCCAAACTACAAGAGATGAAGTCTCACCATTCTGGCTTCCAAGGAGCATTCTGGAATGCTGCACTTCTTCCAATACAGATTTGTTTGTACTTCTGGCCCCATGGTGCTTTCAATATGCATCTCCAACATCATACCTTGAACGCACCAATTCTACGGTCTTCCCTATTCATGGTCCAACTTTCACATGCATACAGTAGTGGTAGTGTGCCGTGGAGTCAGTTCCGACTCATAGTGACCCTGTACAGGGTTTCTGAGGCAGTACATCTTTATGGGAGCAGAAAGCCTCATCTTTTTCCCACGGAACAGCTGGTAGTTTTGAACTGCTGACCTTGAGGTTCACAGCCCGACTTCTAACCACCACGCTACCAGAGCTCCTTTTCACATGCAGATAAGGCAACTGAAAATACCACGGCCTGGGTCAGGTGCACTTTAGTCCTCAAACTGACCCCTTTGCTTTTGAACATTTTAAAGAGGTCTCGTGATGCAGCTTTGTGTAACGCACTAAAAATGGAGCCCTGCCTCCTGACCCCCTGAGGCCCACGCACTAAAAATGGAGCCCTGCCTCCTGACCCCCTGAGGCCCCAGCTTTTCTCAGAGCAGCTCCCGACCTATTTTAAGCACTAGGAAACTGTACCTGTGTGCAAAGGCTTTTCTCTCTATCAGCCTCCTCAGATATTATGTTACACATCAAACAACACAGGCCTGTGAGGGATCTCCAATTAAAACATGGATCAGGGGACACCGAGGAAGTCCCACACCAAGATTAATGAGGGTGTTATTTCAACATGGAAACTGACTCAGGGCTTTGTTACCAAAGCTCTGAAACATTCATTATCTAAGCTATTTTAAGACCTGCCTTTAAAAAGCTATTTCTTATCTTTCTTTGATCATATATTATGACAACACTATGATTGTTGTTGTTGTTAAGTGTTGTTAAATCAGTTCTGAGTCACAGAGACCCTGTGTAGGGTTTCCAAGGCTACACATCTTTACAGGAAGAGAAACTCTCATCTTTCTCCTGTGGAACAGCTGGTGGGCTGGCACCACTGATCTTGTGGTCAGTCCAGTCAATAAAAAAATATGTAAAATGAGTCCAAAGAGCTTTTTCTAAAAAATAAAATAAAATAAAATTCTCTGCAGACTTTTTGGAAAACATAGATATATAGAGAGAGATACGTAGCGGGCAGCAGGCACGCCAGAGCACGTGTACCTACCTGCTGAAGCTCTGCCGCCTGTTTTAAGATGTTTGTTTTCAACTGCTCCGCTCTCTTTGCGTGAAAAGCATTGCTTTGGCTCTGGATGACAAATACAATTCTTTTTAAATCTAGCAACAAAAACAGACAAAAAGTTCAGAGTGATTACTTCCTTCAAACCATACCAAACCAACAAGTCAATGCCAACTCACAGCAACCCTACAGGGCAGAGGGCAGGTGCCCGGCAGAGTAACTGACAGGCTCGATCTTTATGGGTGCAGACAGCATCATTTGTCTTCCAAGAAGCGGCTGGTGAGCTCGAACCACTGACCTTTCGGTTAGCAGCTAAGCACTTAAGAACTACATCACCAGGGCTTCGTGTTGGTGGTGGTGTTCTGACTCACAGCAACCCCACGTACAACAGAAGAGAACACTGCCCGGCCCCGAGCCGTCCTCACAGTAGTTCTGTTGGAGCCCCCTGTCGCAGCCACTGGGTCAGCGCACGTCATTGGAGGTCTTCTTATTTTGTGCCGGCCTTCTACCACACAATACCTTTCTTCGGTATTGTCAAGTTGGTTCCGACTCATAGGGACCGTAGGTCACTTTCTGAGGCTGTACATCATTGCAGGAGCAGTAAGCCCTGTCTTCCTCCTGCGGAGCGGTTAGTGGGCTCGAACTGCTGCCTTTGTGGTTCGCAGTTCAGTGCTTACCCACAGAGCAACCTCTAGTTTAGTAGTCATGGCATGACCAGGGCTCCTCTCTATAAAGACCTCAGCCAAGAAAAGCCTATGGAGTAGCTTGACTGGAATGCGCGGGCCTGTGAGTCAGAATGGACCATGGTATGGGGTTGGTTTGTCTGACTTAAAGCTGACAGACGGACGGACGGACGACTGACGTACTTGTATATGCGTGCTTACGTACATACGTGAAGAGGCAGCCTGTTAGCGTGAGAATAGCTGACCTAGGGACGGACGGACGACTGACGTACTTGTATATGCGTGCTTACGTACATACGTGAAGAGGCAGCCAGTTAGCGTGAGAATAGCTGACCTAGGGAATCTGTCAAAGAGTCCTGAGCACTCGGATACTAACTAAAAGGTTGGTGGTTCAAACCCACCCAGACGTCCCAAGGGAGAAAGGTCTTGCTGGAGATTCGCTCCTCTGAAGATTTTAAAAAACAAGCCCTCACTGCTATTGCGTAGCTTCTGCATCATAGCGCCCCCTACAGGTCAGAGGCGAGCTGTTCCGTTAAGTTTCTGAGGCTAAGTGAACTTCACAGCCTTGGAAAGCCTACAGGGCAAGGCTACGCTGCCCTCCGCGGTTAAGTACTGTTGAGTTAGTTCTGACTCATAGCGACCCTGTATTGGGTTTCCAAGGAGTGGCTGATGGGTTTGAACCGCTGTCCAGTACTTTTCCTCCAATGCTTTGTCCTATGGCGTCACTATAACTCAGAATTGACAGCAAGGTTTTGTTTTGTTTTAATTACAGTAAAACCTGTGGAAATTACAACCAGTTAGAGAAGGATGCTGCAAATATATTCCACTAACAGAGAGCAACAGAAGACCTGTCAAAGGTGGGAAATCTGCAGTGCGACCTGGAAACCAAGGCAGCCCCGAGGAGTTCCAGCTTCCACAGGTTTCCCGGTACCTCCAGTACTGTTGTTGTTGTTGTTGTTAAGTACCATCAAGTCGGTTCTGACTCATAACGACCCTGTATAGGTCTCCTCCTGGAGAGGCTGGTGAACCGCCGACTTTGTGGTTCAAACCGACCTTGCAGTCCAGCGAATTAACCCACAGCACCACACCAGGATTCCAGTATTCCCATATGCGAAGAGTTCTCTGCATTTCTCCCAGAAGCTCATTATCAATGTACGGCTGGCCAGTGACTGGACAGCTGGACAACAACATCAACTCCACAAATAAACAGACTCAGAAAAAAAAAAAATCATGACTTACCTACGTCATCTTTTCTTGATAGTCCACTTTTCTCCAAATTCTACAGATTAAATAAAAGAGAAAAAGATAAATCTCATCATGTAACTAAGCAAGCAAGGTACTGAATAAATATGTATTTAAAGTAATTATTTAACAGGACTGTCACAACTGTAAAGGTAGGTTTTGTGACAAAAAGGGGTGAGTAGTTAATCTCACATGCCAGGAAAAGAGGACCCTAAGACCATCAAGGAAGAAGAGCATGAACGGAATATCGGACCCTACCCAAAGAAGCACGACACCAGAGATGGAGACAGAGATGAGGACATGGAGAGAAGAAACATCTGAAGACTCTAGACTCATGGAAAGAGAAAGGCTGTGTGCTGGTGGCCAGGAGGAAGGCTTCCAGATTGTGCCCTTTGGTTGTTGAAATGATTATAGATTCCTGAGTGTTTTTGTGCACATTAAAACACACACACACACACACACAAAAAAAAAAAACCGGAGGTAATAGAAGCAAATACTGCTGAATGATGATGCATGGAAGGGATTGTAATCATTGCAATGAAATGATGAGTGTAAAACTGATGTTCTCCCATGTAAATTATCACTCAATTCACCATAAAAACTTAAAAAAAGAAGAATGAAAGTTAAAAAAACACAGGGAATAGAAGCAAAAACTGTTAAATGATGATGCACGGAAAAGATTGTAATCATTGCAATGAAACGAAGAGTGTAAAACTGATACTCTCCCATGTAAACTATCACTCAATTCACAATAAAAACGTTTTAAAAATTATTAACTATTATATGTTATACAAACATAAAAAAGAGCTCTAGTAACGTAGTGGTTATGAATCAGGTTGCGAACCTCAGGATCAGCAGTTCGAAACTACCAGCTGTTCCGCAGGACAAAGATGAGGCTTTCCGCTCCTGCACAACCTCGGAAACCCTGTACAGGGTAGCTAGGAGCCAGAACCGACTCCACAGCACATAACAACAACAACAAGTTATATGTTATATGTATGTATTATATATAATTATTTATTATATATTATATATGAGGGAGTTTCAGAAAGCTCAAGGGGTAATTCCACTATCTTTTCATTATATTTTTCTATGAACTTTTTGAAGCCCTCTCATATATTATCAGCATATTATCAGGATCCCTGATGACACAAGGGTTAAGTGCTCAGCTGCTAAACGAAAGGTCAGTGTCTCAGTCCCACCCATTGGTTCCTAGGGAGAAAGACCTAGCGATCTTCTTCCATAAAGATTATAGACAAGAAAGCTCCGTGGGGCAGTTCTCTGTCCTAGGTCTGCTGGGAGTCAGAATGGACTCGACAGAAAGAGGTCTACTTTTGTCGGTGTGCATGTTTTATTATATACCATAGATGTATAACATGTGAGATATATATTACATATATAACAATATGAATAAATATATTAACATTTGGGGGGGAAGACTTCTTTTTTCCTATGGGCCGAAATCAAACCCAATGCTGTTGAGTCAATTCCGACTCACAACGACCCTGTGGGATAGACTAGAAATGCCCAAGGGTTTCCGAGGCTATAAATCTTTATGAGAGCATGGAGCCTCATCATTCTCCCTTGGAACAGCTGGTAGGTTTAAACCACTGACCTTTTTATTGTTACTATTTTTAAACCTATCTTATTTCTTGGATGCATTTTTTTTTAACTTTTTATTGTGAATTGAGTGAAGGTTTACAGACAAGGTCATCAGTTTTACATTCAACAAATCCTATGCTTTGTTTTGTCTCAATGATTGCAGACGCCTCCACGCAACAACAGTGATCCCACTTCCTCCTCCCTGTGCTTCCTATTTCCAGTCCATCTTCTCTCAACCTTGACCTTGACCTTAGGTAAACTGTGACCTTTTGACTTTGAATGACTGACTTCCATGGTGAGCAGACCTTACTAGTGTTGTTGCCCCCCATATACCTATCTACCGCTTGAGTGAAAACGGGGCCGTGAGCGTGAGCTCCTTTTGGGACATGAAGGGTGGTCGAGGGCCACAGTCTCAGCTTCCTCCAGTCTCATTCTGATCAGTAAGCCCAGTCTTTTTTTTTTTTTAATAATTTTGAGTTTGATTCCACATTTTTCCCACTTTATATGGGGCTTCCAAAGTGATCCCTTTCAGAGTAGATGGTAGTGGAAGCCGGGCACCATCTAGTTCTTCTGGTCTCAAAGTCATGGAGACGGATGGTCACGTGGTCCATGAATCTGTTAGACTAATCGATTCCAAGCCTCTTCAATTCTCCTCACTCTTCTTTCTTCCGCACATGGAGAGACCAACAGCTTCACTTTGGATGGCCACTCACGAGCTTTTAAGATCCTAGATGCTACTTACCAAAATAGGATGGAGAACATTGTCTTTGTGCATTATGTTATGCCAATGGACCGTGGTATCCCCTGACACTGGTCCTTAGTCACCAGGCCCAGCCACTCAATGCTGACAATGTCTGATAATATCTAAGACGTTTTCTTCATTTAGTCCGCTGTATGCCCCACCATATTCAATGTTGTTTTTGTTGTTGTTAAGTGCCATGGAGTCGGTTCCAATTAATAGCAACCTGTCTAGGAGCAACTGCTGAGCTTGAACCACCAACCTTGTGGTTCAAACCTGCCCAGCAGTTCAACTCATTAATCCACAGTGCCACATCAGGACTCCAGGAAAGGGAAAGTCTTGTGTACAAATATCCTCTTTCAAACTCATATATGTGGGGGTATACTCCCACTCTTCCTCCTGTACCACTCAGCCCGTGCCTCTGTCCATGTATCCACACATGGTTACTCCAAGGTTGTGTACAGAACACTACTTATCTCTATTCCCTTTAACCCTTGCAGACTTCCCTGTGTCTTCACTGTTCTTCTGCCAACCTCCCCCTTTTTGCCCTCCCCGTCACCTGAGCTAACATGTATCTGTTCTTTACCCTTGCTTCCCTGATAACCATCAAAGAATATTTCTTTTAGCATGAAAACCTTTTCTTGATTGTTTTATAACAGTGAACTGCTGTTTAGCAGCCCAAGGCTTACACCACTGTGTAGGCCAAAGACAATCACCCAGAAATGATGAAAAGTGTCATCATGATGCCAAGATGGAGCCCAAAAGAATTCATGACCACAGGGCTATTACAACAGAAAGCAAAGCACATCCGAGTATCATGATTGGTGGCAGAGCAATTAATTCAATACTGTGGTAGGTGGGGCTACGGAAGGAGGGGAGTGGGCCATGACTGGGATACTACACAACTGAAGATTCTAAAAACTTACAGGATTGGCCCTTGGGCTTTGACCCCCTAGATCTATGGTGGTCGGGGTGACTCACAAGCATACGGCCCTGAATCATAGTCTACAGCAGGCCAAACTTTGGATGATGTCTGTCTGTCAATCATGAAGGACAAGCAAGTTCCCTGAGAACAAGACCACCTTGGTCCCTGACCTGGCCAGGGATTGGGAGAAGGCTTTAAAGATAGGAGCTTAGAAGAGCTTTCCTAAAAAAGGTGGTCTTTGGAGAGTCCATTTTAAAACCTTGTACACCATAAAGCATTACAGACTTCTCCAAAATATGATGAAGCTGGTATTGTGTTACCAAGAAGAAAGACCTGGCGATCCGCTTCTGAAAACTAGCAACTGGAAACCTTAGGGACCACGGCCGAGTGCTGTGTGGACACGGTCATCAGGAGGGATTCACAGCTGCAGGGAACATCTTGACTGGTGAAGGAGAGGGCCAGCGAAGGTGAGGGAGACCCTCAGTGAGGTAGATTAGTAACAGTGGAGCCAGCATGCTAGCAGTCACATGGACGATGCAGGACCATGAAGGTGATGCTCATTCTGTGTATGAGTCAGAGTCAATCTGACCTCAGCTATCTCCCTACCAACTGACCCATCATCCATCTATTATCCATCCAGTCAGCTATCATCCAGCTTCCATCTACTGTAGCTTAGTGTCCATCACCCATCTATCAATCACCTATCTGTCATCTACATCTATCATCCCATTCATCACCTACCCATCTATCTATCATCTATCCATCACCCATCCATCCATCAATCACCTATCTGTCATCTACATCTATCATCCCATCCATCACCTACCCATCTATCATCTATCCATCATCCATCCACCCATCAATCACCTATCTGTCATCTACATCTATCATACATCTACCACCTATCCATCTATCATCTATCCATCATCCATCCATCCATCAATCACATATCTATCATCTATATGTATCATACATCCATCACCTATCCATCTATCATCTATCCATCTCCATCCATCCATCAATCACCTATCTATCATCTACATCTATCATACATCCACCACCTACCCATCTATCATAGATCAATAAATCTATCATATATACATCTGGTAGCACAGTGGTTACGAATCAGGCTGCAAACCACAAGGTCAGAAGTTCGAAACTACCAGCTGTTCCGTGGGAGAAAGATGAGGCTGTCTGCTCCCATAAAGATTTACAGCCTCGGAAACCCTGTACCAGATTGCTATGAGTCGGAACCGACTCCACGGCACATAACCATCACCACCAATCTATTATCTATCTAGTGATCATCTATCCATCCAGCTATCTATGTATCTATCTACGTTTCTATCTATATCATGGTGGTGGTGGTTATGTGCCGTGGAGTCGGTTCTGACTCATAGCAAACATGTATAGAGTTTCCAAAGCTGTAAATCTTTATGGAAGCAGAAAGCCTCATCTTTCTCCTGAGGAACAGCTGATAGTTTTGAACTGTTGACTTTGAGGTTAGCAGCCTGATTCGTAACCACTATGTTACCAGAGCTCCTATTGATATCATACATGCATGCATAATCTGCCAATCTATTATCTATCCATTCATCTCTCATCCACCTATCTATCATACATCCATCATCTCCAATCTATTATCTATTCATCATCCATCCATCTATCGATGTATCCTATCTATTGACCTATCTACCTATCTATCATACATCCATCATCTCCAATCTATTATCTATTCATCATCCATCCATCTATCGATGTATCCTATCTA